CCAGATTACAATTATCGCTCTGCAGTTGTATGCCTCTGCCATCCAATGCAGTTTCAGTCTATGTACAATTATTTTTCAGACTCATATAAAGTCACTGTCACCTTTGACCACTGAAATCTAATATGTTCATCTTTGAGTCTGAGTGAATATTTGTACCAAATGTGGAGGGAGTCTCACATGGCGTTCTTGAGCTAACACGTTCACAAGGCAGAAAAGATGTTTCGTGAAGTCACAGCGACCTTTGACTATCAACCACCAAGTTCTAATCACTTCTTCCTTGAGTCCATCTGAACATTTCTACCAAATTTGAAGATATCGACGAACAGAAAACATACCTTAAGTTTCAAATTTCTTTTTTGAATGTATAGTCAATTAGCTAATCTTTAAATATCCCTAGTGCTATTAACCCAAAGAGATTATTTCTGTTCATGCTCTTAGGTGCTGATGAATGAAGTCAAAGTCAGACCACATCTACAATGGACAAAAGACCAGAAGCCACAGGTATACCCTCTGAGATTACTGTATATTTCTCTTCACTCATTATGACATACAAAATACATTTGGTAAACCTTATCAAACATGTCAAGTCTGGGGCAAATCGGACAATATACAATTAAGTTACAACAATTTAGGATTTCCATGGCCAAGCATCAAAGTTCTACCACAGACATGCTGAAAAAGTTGATCCACAGACCCAATCTGAGATTGATCTGATTATTCTCTAAGAGGAATCTGCTCAAGTGCAACGTCAGTAAAAGATACGAAAACTTATTTCATAAAAAATACACACACACACACACACACACACACACACACCATACATTTTGTCCATTTGTAAACATGTTCTTCTGTTTACAGCCCTGTTGGACTTTCTGTCAAAAGTGGGACTGGAGAGATTTTATCCCAACAAGCTCACTCTTCAGTTCCTCTTGGAGATCAACAAAAGCAGCATATATGAAGAACCTGAAGAATCAGCACGGACCCTGCCCTGGTGTTTTCTAAGAAAACTATTTGAAGTCAATGCAAAATGCAGAAGCTGTCGACATGAATCAAACACTATTGAGGAAAATGACACTGCAAATGAGAATCTGTTTGAACTGGACCTAACCACCTCTGATGACTCTACAGATGATAAAGTGAACCCCCTCGACCTCATTGTCGCTCTGTTCCTTTGCGCTGACAGCTTCTTGCAGCAGGAAATGGCCCTCAAGATGTCAATGTGCCAGTTTTCTCTTCCACTGCTGTTGCCCCRCGGCCATAAGAGTCAGTGTACCCTGATGCTGTGGGCTCTGAGAGATATCGTCAAAGAGTGGTGTCCACATGATATGTCTCAATCAAGAGGGTTTGTTGAAGACAACATTATCCAAGCAAATATACCATTCTACTCCTTTGTGAGGCTGAAGAACAGTAGTTTATCCAAGTCCCAGTTTTTGAATCATGTCCTCAGCAGTGGGCAACAGAACTGCAACATCTTCATACACAGAGATGTGGAAGGGGGGGCAGTCAAAAGAGAAATTGCAAATGGGCTTGTTGAGGTTTGTTGGTACCTTCCCTCTGGTGGAGAAAATCTTGACATTTTTCCTGAGCCTATTGCCTTTGCAAATTTGCGAGGGGACATTCATGATTCACTCACRCAATTCAAYTTTCTCTTTCAAGTATCAAMAGCTACCTTTGTGTTCCTGGACAGTGTTGAAGAAAATGAGCACAAGATTCTATCGTCTCTTCAAGATGTGAAATCCAAACTCTTCTTAGTTSTCAATCGAAAGGGAGGGAATGCCAGAGAGGAAATGATGTCTGTGAAGAGATTGGTGGATGAATTAGGTTTACCAAAGAACAGAGTGAAGGTGAAAGACCAGAGGCTAAATGTGGCAGAGTTMTCCAGAAATCTTTGTGAGGTCATCAAGACATCCCTGATAGATGTGAAAGACACCATAAGCATTGAAAATATGGTTGGTAAAGCTGTTGAACTTGACCTGTCTGTGGACGAGAGCAAAACTGACGCACAAAGAAAAGCTGCTGAGCATTTTGCAAAAGAAATTGCGGAGCAGTCGATACAAGACTACAAAAAGCAGCAACTGCCATTGCAAGGAGAAAAATGGAAAAGATTGTCACAGTTACAAATGAAAGAATGGAGGTTGAATAAAGATGGGGGCCTGGGAGTGGAAGTGAGCGCATCTCAGCTACAAGAAGAACAACTTAAAATCAGAAGGGAACTGAATGAAAGCAAACAATCCATAGCATTAAAGAGCTTTATTGAACACTTGTCAAAATGGGACCAAGAAAAAAGAGATTTTTTTCTAAAGTGGATGAAATTCAATCTGAATGCTTATTCAAGAACAAAAGTGTTCGAGCTSCGCAACAAATTCAAAGAGCAATGCARGAAGAAAGACGTCAAACTCATAGCAGAGTTAGACCAAGCTTTGRTGGATAGCTCTTTRGGAACAGAGCATTACATGAGAGAGATGGGACTGATCTATGAGTTCTCAACTAACAGCTCAACAACAGCTGATGAAATATCCCACCTCCCAGGTTTGGCAGCTGAAATGCTGTTGGATGGATATCCTTTAGAGCTTTTGGAYGGAGATGCTTCCAAYGTCCCRGAGAGATGGGTGACAGATGTGCTGATGGAGCTTCACAAGAAGGTTGGGCAGAGGAGCAGACTGTTGGTACTGACTGTGTTGGGTGTTCAGAGCACCGGTAAGTCAACGCTCCTCAACACCATGTTTGGTGTGCAGTTTCCTGTCAGCAGCGGCAGATGCACAAGAGGAGCTTTCATKCTCTTCCTCAAAGTTGGAGAGGATTTGAAAAGTGAGTTAAAYTGTGATTTTATTGTCCTCATTGACACAGAGGGTCTTAAGTCTCCTGATCTGGCACAACTRGAGGACAGTTATGAGCATGACAACCAGCTAGCAACCTTTGTCATTGGCTTGAGTGATGCCACCATTATCAACATCGCAATGGAAAACGCAGCAGAAATGAAAGATGTCCTGCAAATTGCAGTGCATGCATTCTTGAGAATGAAAGAAATTGGAAAAAAGCCAGTTTGTCATTTTGTTCACCAGAATGTTTCATCAGTTTCAGCTCAAACAAAGACCATGACAGAAAGAAAACATCTCTTGGACCAACTCAATGAAATGACTCAAATCRCAGCTGAAATGGAAAAAAAACCTTCTATCAAGGAATTCACAGACGTGCTGGACTATGACATGGACAAGAACAACTGGAACATCCCAGGACTCTGGCAYGGAACACCACCAATGGCACCAGTGAACACAGGTTACAGTGAAGCTGTAGCACATTTCAAGAAGAATCTTTTACAAACAGTGAAGAGGGACCCACTTAAAGAGTTCTCACAGATCCCAGAGTTTCTGGAAATTATGAGAAATCTCTGGAGGGCGGTAAAATGTGAAAACTTCATCTTCAGTTTCAGGAACACTCTTGTGTCTCATGCTTTTAACAACCTGTGCAAAGAGTTCAGTCAGTGGGAATGGGCCTTCAGAAAAAGGATTCTCTCCTGGCAAACACAAGCAGAGTCAGGAATTCTGCATGTGCACAGTCAGTCCGACACAGAAGCTTGGAACACGGAGGTTGCATCAAAAAAAATCGAGGCTTCACAACAAATCGAAACAGAGGAGAGAAAAATGAAGGAAAAACTTATCAACTACTACAGAACAAAAGAAAAACTAGTGCATCTGATCGAGGCCTTYRTTAAAGATGTTTTAGAAAGTATCAGCAATCTTGCAAATGAAATCAAACTTTGTGTGAACAACAAGTTTGATTTTTGGCTTAAGCTTAGACAACAAGCTCAAGAAAATGAGAGTCAAATGCAGGTTAATGTTGAACACTGGGTGACGAGTCTATTAAAAGATCATAAACACTGCACACTGTCTGAAGAGCAACTAACTAAGAGGTTTGATAAGATGTGGACCGGTTCTGTCAAACAGGATGTGCAGGACATTGAAAGCCGACAAAAAATGGTTTCTTTTGAGATAAAAGGTGACCATCAGTTGGACAGCAAAAATGACAAAACCACAGAACTCCAGAACTTAGCAGAAAGTATCATACATTCATGTACACAGTGTGTACTTRATAAAGTAAAGACAAACACAGATGTTGATGATRGAATAACAACTGAACTCCTGGAAAAAGTGGATAACTCCCTTCAAGAAAGCTGTAAGCTTTGGCAAAACAAGTTCGAGTTTGACCTGAAACTTCACATATGTGGCATCGCCTCCAGGGAATGCCTCAAAATGAAGGAAAACATCCAGTTATTTACTGATCCCAAACAACAGCTGGAGAAAAAGAAGACTCGGTATCTGTCAGACTTTCTTGATCTGTACAAACAAAGATATCACAGCCTGCATGAAGCAACTAACTTTGTCCAGTCGTGTATCAAACCTGCTGTGGAACASTTCATCTGTAGATCTCTGGGAGTTGACATTGTGGATGACATTTTGACGAGTTYCCATTCAACARAGTATAGTTCTCGCACAATCTTCCAGTACAACATTCAGAAAGAGTTGCTGCTAAATGAAGACTTCAAGAGTTTTGTCAGCTTCATTGATAACTATGAAATATATGTTAAAGATTGGATATTTCAACTCATCCTGCAA